GCGGGGGCTGAGGGCCGGGGCGGCTCGGCTCGGCGCGGCTCAGCCCGGTATCTCTGCCCCCCCCCGCAGCCGCCGCGGTTGTGCGAGGACTACTGGTGGGAGTGGAAGCACTGCCGCGGGCTGCGGCACGCCTTCCACCACTACTACGCGCACGGGGAGCTGCCGGCCTGCGGCCGCTGGCGCGACGACTACGAGGCCTGCCGCGCCTGGGAGAGGGGCCGAGCCGCCGCCGCGCAGGTACCGCCCGGGCCCCTCAGGGCTCTCTAGGCCGCTGCTGGTGGGGGCAGAAACGCCGCAGCCGCCTGCGGGCGAGCGGTGTCGGCGGTCACCTCGGCGGGTGGGTCTGGGAAAGCAGGCGTCCGCTCGGGGTGAGGGGGGAGATGGTCTTAACGTGCAGCGGGAGGGCTGGCAGCCTGCTGCTGGAAAAGATCTTGATTTCAGTTACTGTGACGCTCCCTAATACGAGAAGCTGCCGCCTCACAGGCAAAAAGTATTCCTGGGTGTCCAGAAATGCTCCTGGCTACAGCCCTGTGAACACTGGAAGACGAGAGCCCCGCAGCACATCCTTTCGGCCACCTAGGACAACTTCTGGCGGGGAGGGTAGCGCATAAGCGGTAGTTTTCTTCCTAATGGAGGAGTCAGAGGCAGAATATAAATGTGACATAGTTAAAAGCTTGTATCCTGGCTTACTTAGGTAGCATTTGGCACTTCTATTTAAGCATGATAAATTCCTGTTCTTCATTTTATCTCAAATAGTCACAGCAGGAAATAAGCTCAGGAAGACTGAACATCGAACACTACTGTGGTAATATTTTTTTCCTGTATTTCAGGAAGCTTTGTGCAAGAGTGAAAGAGCTCGAGTTATGGAAAAACAGAAATATGCTCCAGTGTGGACGCTCAGGAAGAGTCCACCACCAGAGTGGTATCTTCCACTTGACCAAGACAAACAAAATTAGCAAGACTGTTTTGCTGTGTTTGGTCAGTAATGTAATGCACAGTGCAGAACTATGCTGCGTTTTTTTAATTCCATGTCATCTTGAAATTACACAACTGTAGCTCTGTCCTGCAATACTTTAGTACTCACTTAAAAATACTGGGTGTTTAAATAAACACCCAGTATTTTTAAAGGGAGAATTGAGGTGCTTAATTTGATTCTCATCTCTTACTACTGTCTTACACTTTAGGATTTCATCTTGGTAGGCAACTCCCAAATTAGTGCATACATGATCTAGCTTCTCTTGTTAGACAAGCACCTCTTCCCCTGCTTTTGGAACAAGGTATCCACCCCAGGCCTCCCAGATGGGAAGACAAAAGCAAGCTAGGACTCCTCCTTGCCCGTTCAGGACAATCACAACCACTGGCACTTAAAGGCAGTTCCCAGATTCATGATGGGTTAAGAGCTTTTTCACACCTGGTGGGCTGATGTTGCAGACCCTGAAACTGCAACCCTGCCCCTTTGTGGAACTGCTCTCGAACGGTGGTGTACGTTAATGGCAGTATTCAAAATTACTGAAAAATAAAGGTTTAAACGAATGGAGAGAGATCTGTTTTGTTATAGGGCAAACCCTTAGAAACTTAGTTATAAGTTAGAACATTTACATGGCCTATAAAAAAAACCAACTTAATTTTGGCTTTGTCACAGTATGTTTTCCATCTGTTTTCCCTCTTAGATGCAAAAGTACTTCACTGAAGTCTGAAAAGAAAGGCAGTAAATGGTCAGCTGCTACCTCCCTTATAGTACAGACTCTGATGTGATGACTGTGACGTTCTTTCCTCATAGGATAGGAATCTTCCAAGTTACGGTTTATGCAGAACAAGAAAATGCTGCTCAGGAGTGTGTGGAGTGGTAGGAGATATAAGCCCAGAAAGATGAAATACTACTTCTTTGTCTTGTTCTAGCATGGCGCAAGTGTAAGGTAGTGTAGTTTCATTGGGTGTCTCACTACCTGGATAGCCGTTTAAAAGACCCAAACAAACAGATACTTCATTAATATGTTTTTTTACAGTCACACACCTACAGTATTTTAACCTGCAGAAGGAATTGTTTATTTTTATTCCATTCTTTCCTCCTTCAGTTGGCTGAGTAGCTCATGCCAGATGAATGACAAACTCCTCCATCACTGCGTATACACTTTGGTGATATCAATGCACTTTCCTTCGGGGGGATCGTAACCAGGAAGTGGTGGGGTATAATTAGGTCCATCTCTCTCAAAGGGTAAAAGCCCCTCATCTCGTCTGATTGCTGCCTGATACAACTCCTCGGATTCAAGGCGCAGTTCCTTTAGTGCCTCTTGCTGAGCTTCTACAAGGGTCTGAATTGCTTTCTTTTCTGCCTTATCTTGTTTCTGCTTAAACAAACACCACTTTTTCAGAAGTAAAACTCTTCTTTCAGTCTCCTCAAACGACAGAGGGGGAAGACTTCGCACCCTGATAAAGAGTAAGATAACATTGTAATAGAGAAATAGCCTGCATCCCAAAGAGCAAATTAAAAAAACCCAAAACAACAGAAAACACCCCCACCAACAACCAAAAAAACCCCACCAAACCCAGAAGAATACATTTCATTCATGCAATGTCTGTGAGATTTTCCACGGTCCTTCTAACCGGAAATTCATGTTACTGTTTTTTCACTACTTTTAGCAGGAGCAAATAAAATTTGCTTTCCAAATTTTTGTCCTGGTCGAAGTTGGTAAGGTTTTGTACCAAGGCTGGCACTATATTGCAGTTTTGCAGAGAAAGAAATTGTGTTTCTAACATGAATGCAAGTGCATGGTGAAAGACAGTCTTACTTACCTGTTGCTCTCTGAGTACTTAAGTGGTGTTATAAAATCCTCAATTGGAATCATTTCTGGGGCAGCTTTTTCCAACTTTTTAATCTTCTTTTTCAGGCGATCCTTCTGTGCTTGCTCTCTCTTTACATCCACTTTCTTCTTCTTCTTCATTGGTTGTGCTCTAGAAAGGAAATAATTATGTGAATGAAAGAAGATGCTTTGTCATTTAATTCAACACCAGCAGCCTCCACTTTACTTTTCTAAGGACTGTTCCTTCCCATTGCTTAATTTGGTCCCTAATAGAAGGTCCAGCCATTAGCTTTTTTCAGGTAACGTAATTTCCAGGAGACAGTAATACGTCTTGAGATTTTCTGCAGAGAGAACTGTACTTGCCTGAGAACAGCACCCGCCAGTTTTGTGCTGAGTATCAGAACGACCCGAGGAAGTTCCACAAAAATTGAGTTGGAATTGTTTTGTACTAGCTCAGAGTGCAGCAGAGCAGGTGACAGGTTTATCTGCAAATATTGCTGTCATCTTGCGTTTAAGGAGTGAGTGGTTTTACAAGTGCTTTTAAAATTTCCACATTTGGAACCAAATTCAAGGTGCAGATGTTACTCTCCTGTTGTACTTCTCCACACAGATCCAGTATACCCTAGACAACATATGCCATGCTCCACAAACACTGATCCTCACAGTGGACCTGTGGGATATTCCTGCTTTGCAGACTGAACAAACAATCTTTATGGTATGAAAGAGTACCTAGCAGCTACCAGGATATGTTAAATCTAGTTGCATCAAAACAAAACATGGATACCAAGATGTAACATATATGTAAATGTGGCTGTCTAGTATACCACTTTATAGTAAAGTATTTTTGGTTCAGCTGGGCTGTCATTTCCGTTGTTGCTCAAAAGGGAATTCTGAAGCACAGCATAAATCCAAACATCTCCAACCACATTCTGTGGTTGAGGAAGCAAATACAACTACACACAAGGATAAAGCCATAATTATATAGGTTACCATTAAACTCTCCTCAAGAGGCCAACAGTTCTTAACTACTTTTACATATAGTGACTTAAAAGCAAACATTTATAGTTAAAATTTAATTTGGACTTGGGAAAGTATGTGTTCCCCTAAGGATGGAAACACTGCTATGTAACTCCATGGAAGCTGCGCTCACCTCATGGGGAGAGATGCCCTGAACGCCAGCAGGGAAGTCTGCCAGTGACTTCCTCGGAACGGAACCGTCTGGGGCAGCCAAGAACTGAAGAAGGAAAAGGAACATCAAGCATGAGGAGCAACCGACTTGGATTACATTGATTCTGCACAACACAAGAGCTACTTATTAGTCATAAATTACAACGGTGAGATCTGAATCGTCTTTGGCTACTTAACTCGTGACAGTGTACAGCGCTTACCCAGAGCTGACAACCTCAAGGACTTCAGCAAGGTAACTAAACCCAAAATTTGTTCAGCGTTGTGAATCCACAGGGTACCGAGGGGTGAAGCGGATAAGTTTTTTAAATCTATGAGTAGGTTAGAGTAATTTTATTCTGAAGCTCTGACAATGGCTTCTTTGAAGTCCTGATTTTGGAGAAGTAAAACCAGCTCCGTTCAAGCTGGGAGGAGAGAGACGCGGTTTCTCCAATCTCGGCGGATGTCACGGGAGGGAGAACCGGCCCAGGTGCGGAACCAGGCCCGCGCACACCACATCCCGACCCCGGAGCGCAGTCCCTGGCCGCCGAGGGAGCCCCGGGAGAGCGAGGCCCGCCCCGGGAAGGGAACCGGGACCGGGACCAGAGCTCGCCGGGAGAGGGCGAGGCGGGAGCCCCGAGCAAGGGGCGCTTCACTGGGCTCCCTCCCCGCGGGCCCGGGCGCAAGGTAGCCGCCACGGAGGGACCCGAAAACCCGCTCCCGCCCTACCTCAGCCGGGCTCCGCGGAGCCCCCGGGCCGCTGCCGCCAACATGTCTCCCCGCCGCTGCCAGCGGTGCGCCCGCAGTCCCCGCCGGCCACGCTCCGAGTCCCGCGTCCCCTGTTCCGGCTCACAAAGGTTCCGCTCCGACTCGCCGCCCTGCTGCGGCCCGGCCTGCGGGAAGGCCCCGCCCCGCC